CACTCAGTCATGCATTTTTTACTTTATTCATTAATTTTCATTTTCTCTTTCATTCATGTATTTCATTTCCAACCTCAATCATAATTGATTCTTTGCTTCAGGGAGGGTTCGCCCGTGTCTTCGAAGTAACCGACATGTCGAATAACAAAGAATTTGCCTTGAAAGTCGTTCCAAAAGAAAGGCTCACCAAATCTCCTGGTAAAGTCAATAAGGTAAAAAGCTGAATGTGGTGCCATGTTACAACAATAGCCTACTTCCGAGATATGCTTCGCTTGTCACGCACAAAGGTTTCAGCATGAGGCTACATGCCAAATGCTCAGTCATTTGTGACAGGCGGTAAGAATAAATTTAATCTAGCACGTAGCCTCATACTGGAACCTTTGTGCGTGATAAGCGAAGCATATCTCGGAAATGGGCTATTGTAAATCCTATCTATGGCTAGTCTAGATCTCCTACGCAGTCGCTATTTTCTATCGCGACTGCGTAGAAGACTAAACTACAGAGGCGGATCCAGGATTTTGTTCGGGGAGGGGTGCTGCGCACAAAGTTAACTCGGGGGGGGGGAGGGGGGTGCACCACTTAGAAACAAAAGGAAAAAACAGTATTGGTTATCTTCGAAGTAGGGGCACAAATTCGAACCAGGGGGGTGCGCACCCCTGGATCCGCCCCTGAGCTATGAACCAAACATTGGCAATAGGAGAGGACTTAACAAATATTGTTTTTCACATCTAGATACAATTAGAAATCGACCTCCACAAGACGTTGCGTCACCGTTACATCGTTGGATTTCACGGCAGTTTTCAAGACCAATCTCATTTCTATATTCTCATGGAACTGTGCAATCGTAAGGTACATTAATTTTCTTCTAAGTCATTACATCTACGTTTATTATTAACTGAAGGAACCGTGTTCATGATATGGCCGTTAGCCGTTGCTGTTAAGAGTCAGGATAGCGTGGTTTGTAAAACGCTCGTCTCGTAGCGCATGTGACCTGCGTAAGGGTTTATTCAGCTCTCCGGGGCCTCCACCCTCTAAAACGTGCTAATTCAAACTGCTTAGAGCATTGCACCGGGGTCATTGTATACATGAACTGTATAGCGCCTACCAGAGGAGCCTCACTTTGCTTTTGGCTGATCAATCCCGTCGTGCTAAGCTCCAAAGTTGTGGTGGTGATTAGCAATTAAAAGTCGTTTGATTTGATTTGGGGCGAAAATCAGTGGGAAGCCATAAGTAGCATGCATTACTAAGTAATTGCAGTATATTTTCCACTCATTTAAAGGAAAATCACTTTAATATCGCTGGTCCGTGGCGCAGCCGTGAGATTGCGAAGCTGTCAAAACTTCACGCACGCGCAGATCTCAAATGCGCGTGGCGGATTGTCTTGCATTCGATCGCGGATAGTGTCAGACGCGCGCGAGGGATTTTTCTTAGGCACGCACTTCTGCGCGCACGAAGCTTTTGTGCAGAAGATGTAATTTTAAAAAATAATTATAAATCCATTGCTTTTTTAAATCGTTTGTAATAACCGCACTAAAAGATATCAGTATCGAGTACTCTTATAGAAAAAATGATATGGAGACCACCTAGGATTGATCAATCAAAGGAAGCCAAATTACAGATGACCGCGCAATAGTTGATTTTCTCAACCTACTGAACATTTTTTGTACTTCAAGTGGAACTGAGTCAATGGACCTCTCGACGTACGTCTTATCTTTTACGCTTGTTATTCTCAGTCATTGGTTCAGATGCTCAAAAGTAGAGGCAGACTGACGGAACCGGAAGTGCGCTTCTTCATGCACCAAGCAGTCCAGGCATGCGCGTATTTACACGAGCAGCGCGTCATACACCGGGACATCAAAGTAGGCAACTTCTTCCTCAAAAATGACATGGAACTTAGACTAGGAGACTTTGGACTGGCTGCCAGACTGCAACCTGATCAAAAACAAATAAGGCAAGTATATCATTTTTATGAAGTTTTTAGATATTGCAATGAAAAAATCAATTGTGACAGATTATGCGTATTTTCGAATCCAACTGTACACAAAATACTGCTAAAATAAAGCGAACAAATTTCTTGATGATTCAACCTCCACCTGCAATAATAAAAACTTTGGGCAACAATCCCGTTATGATTGTTAATGCAAGAAAATGTTTTTATAAAACTGCTTTTCGTATTGGACCCGGATGTCGTTTTTCCGTACGATTGACGCCAAACTTAAAATCTTCAGTAAAGTTTTTGATAGGGAAATGGAAAATCACCCTACAAGCGTGCATGGCGTAGCGGCGCCGTTAGGTTCCTAATCATTCCTGTACTTGGTATCACATTGGTGTAAAATCTTATAGTTTTTACCCTTGATTCAAGTTTTTTTTCCTGGTATTTCCGGATTTTCTTCCGTCGCAAAACCAGAGACTCTAAAAATAGTAAGGTCTTTGACTTTTATATTTTTATAGGACCATGTGTGGTACACCAAACTACATCGCGCCTGAGGTCCTATCAAAAACGGGCCACAACTGGCAGGTGGACACTTGGGCACTGGGCTGCGTAATGTAAGTATCTATGTATTATAACTAATTCAAGCAAGATTTTATAATTTTTATTTATGCATTTTCAACACAGGTATACTCTCTTGGTTGGCCACCCGCCCTTCGAAACTAAATCCCTACGCGAAACATACCAGCGCATTCGGAACAACGAGTACACCATCCCTTCACGAATATCAAGTAACGCCGCCAAACTCATCCAACGATTTCTCCAACCCAACCCGAGCGATCGCCCTGATCTCAAATATATCTTTTACGATGATTTTTTTCAATGTGGGATACTACCACGCACCCTCCCCCTCACGTCTCTGACCGGGTCACCGAAGATAACAGAGTACGAGAGACGGACACCTACGGATTGGAAGAAAGACTCTTTGAATGGACTTGCTAAGGTTTTTGATCGTCAAATGAAGATTGAGATGGACGAAAAAGAGGCAATTGAAGAACGAGGTGTGAATGTTAATAGAAATTCGTTAGATAAACTAGGAAATGGACAGTCAGGAAAACTGAAAAATGGAACGAGAAGTAAAGATAGCGATGATAGTGACCGTGGAATTGAATCAGGTGAGAGATTGTTGGGATCATCTTTAGTTTAATTAATCTTCGAATTTTATCGGTAACCTGAAACAACCTCTGGGCTTATCTAAGTCAGTGCATGGCTAACTCACAGATGGAACCCTGAAACACCCCTGGACTTATCTAAGTCAGTGCATGGCTAACTCACAGATGGAACCCTGAAACAACCTCTGGTCTGATCTAAGTCAGGGCATGGTTAGCTCACAGATCAAACCCTGAAACAACCTCTGGGCTGATCTAAGTCAGGGCACGAATAACTCACAGATGGAACCCTGCATGAAACAACCACTGGGCTGATCTAAGTTGGGGCACGGCTTACTTACAGATGGAATTGAATTTTAGTGTGTCAGGTCTGGCGAAGGGAAAGAAACCGAAGACTCGGAAAAAAACTTTTGAATCGAAAGAGTGACCTTTTCTCTCACCCACCTACCCATTCCTTCATTTATTGCACATCAATATCCATCTTTTATCTTCTAAGTTTTTCATAACTACTTTTTTCTCCTCCTCTTATTCCTGCCATTTATTTTGTACATCATTTTGATTTCCTTCTACCTATTTTTAGTTGCTTTCTTTCTATACCTTTTCTCCAATTCCAATAAACAAACAGTTCCACCATTACTTTTCCTTTGCAGATAGCGAAATTCAAAAGTATTTCTCACCAGAAGGCCTCTTCGTTCAACTCTCTACATGTCTTCAATCTCTTAACAATGAATTCCGTGAAAACTCTAGATCTCCTTTACCTGAACTAAAAGGAACTTCAAAGCCTCTCTTTTCTCGGTTTAAATCAAAGAGAGAGAATTCAAAATCCAAGAATTCAACAATGGACGATTTTAGCAAGGTTTTTATCGTCAAATGGGTAGATTACAGCAATAAATATGGATTTGGCGCTCAGATGTCTGATGGTAGCGTGTCTGTTAGGTTCAACGACTGCACAAAGATTGCTCTCTCTGTGGACAAAAGGTGATTCCAATTCAATCAGTTATAATGACATTATTTAATATATTGTGTTATGACAATGTTATATAGATCCCTCTTGCATGTGACGTTAAAGCAGCTCAATTTGGAGAGAACAAAACAAAAGAATTCCAATCTCCAGAGAATTGAAAACCTATTGTTATGTCCTCCAAATTAAGCTGCTTTCCGACGTGCTACAAGTAGACTGAGGGGTCTATAGGTGGATATCCATATGACTGGGCCTTGCACGAGCATGTGACAATACCGTGACTTGCGCTGTGTTTGGTTTAAGTATGTCAAATCGGTACCTTGTCCGAGCATTAGCTTAGTTAAAGCAGTTACATCACGTGCTGTGATTGGTTCCAAAAATGTCACCAATTCCGTACACCGTGTCTGAGCAATGTCCTTTGTGCTGTGATTGGTTCAAAAGATGTCAAATTCGTACCATTACAGTGTCGTGCCGTTTCACAGTTATGCTAAAAAACTACTCTATGCACCTGCGGCACCCAAGTTTTATTTCTGTAATACTCTACCGTTACCGGTCACAAAGTTTACACAAAAGTGCACATACATATGCTCCATGAATCAATTATTTATTAAATGCTTTTTTCCCAGGAGTATTTGCTACTGTGACGAAGATAGCAAGATAGCCCGTTTCTCATCATCGTACATTCCCGATAGCATCGAGACCAAAGTCACACTCCTGACATATTTCTCTAATTACATGGATAAGCATCTACTCAAGGTTAGGCTATAATCCGAATTAATTGCTTGCAATGTTTTCCTATTTCTGAGACACATCGGTCATTCTCTTGTGAGTAACCTTGAAGAATATACAATCCCTTGTGTGGTGACTTTCATACAAACTGGAAACTTTTTCTCTTTCTAGGGAGGCGACCAAAGGGGCTGCATCAGTAGTAACCAACAAATTAGTTCACCTTTCATCGATATCTGGTTCCGCACTGATATCACCATGGTGATGTATCTTAGCAACGGAACACTTCAGGTAACAGTGACTCCATTCAGTGAGACGTATGTTTTTCATTTCATTTTACGAATATATGGAACAAAATTTTATTCATTTTCACAATTTCGTTTTGCATCTTTTCAGTTAAAATTTTCATGTATTTTTTTTCTTTGTTGTTGTTTCAGGTGAATTTTTTCAATGACCACACAAAAGTGGTCCTTATTCCGGGCGAAGACGAGGCTATGCTAATTTACGTAAACGAACAACGAGAGTGTACCACTCAGTTGCTAAGTGACGTGAGCTCAGACACATGCTCGATGAAGATCCTTGAGAGACTGAGCTATTGTAAAAATGTCCTTAGGAAAATTATGGAAGTTATTGCAGAAGAGGAGAGCAAAAAGGAATAAAAGAGCACTACTAATGGAACGGACCCTTTTCAAAAGTATCGTAGATGCGAGGCTAGGTACCATGAAAATACAAAAGATGGAATTTAACGATGGAATTTATGGCAATTCTTTTGTATTTCCATGTTAGCCTTGTATTGCATTCAAGACAATTTTGAGAAAGGTGCATCACTAATAGAGAATAATATATTAATTCCCAGCATTGAATGAGTGTAATTTCTATTTTTCGATATACATATATTGTCATAGCTACTGACCATTTCAATTTTATATAACTAAAAACCTTTGCCACGTTTTATACAATTATTTATCTTAAAATGGCCATTGATTTATATGAGTAATGTTTTCTCAATCATTGAACCGAATATGGAAGGAAAGGCCACAGGAAAGTATTGGTTTGAATTATAGTATGAGGAAAGAAACGAAAGGAAATATCTTACAATCCTTTCAAAAAAGTGAATTCCTCAATTCCTCATTAAATAAGAGAGGAAAAAATCTATTATGAATCTAGTGTTTTTGGACTAAAAATTTCTAAAAAATGAATTGAACGTATATCAGTGTAATTAATGTGGGATTTGTGTACAGAGATAGGGAAAGAATGATATTCAAGAATGGAATTGGCATGATATATTTATATTTGTTATATGATGATGAATATTTATTTTACACGTAGAAACATGACATAGTATTGACTCCTATTTTTTGGATAGAATTTTAATAAACAATGAAATTTTTGAAATTGAATTTTTTATATTTTTTTACTCTTTTTATCTTTTTTCCTCCTGTCTTGGCTTGCCTATTCTACTTCTTTTTCTTCTTTTACTTCTTCTTTTTCATTACTTCTCATAATTTTAATAGCCCTTTTTTTCAATCTTTCTATGCATTACGTCATATTCTTAAAATAACTTCTCCCTTTTACTACCATATTTGGTCAAATAAACAGCCTCTGAGCCCACGGTTACTTCAACCAGTGGTTATCCACTACAGAAGAAAATTTTACATAATTTTGCAAGTTGTTGTGAATTTACTCGCACTTTTTTCCAATTTTTTAATATTTCTAGTTGTTTATGACTGTTTTTTATCACACTAAAAGTTTTAGAAATTCTTAATGCTTTAGGATTCGTCTCAAGTAACCTAATATTTGGATTATTTTAACGATTTCGAGCAATTTTCAATGAACTGTTGAAGGCTTGACAAAATATTCTTGTCATAAATCAAGATTAATCGATTTTTTAGGCTTCGACTTTACTCCTCTTATGAGCTTCAACAATCATGCAAGAAGCACAAAACTTTGATAATTTTCTTAATAATTATCTTGGTCGTCAACCTCCTTCTTTATCCAGAATTTTGAACAGCCCTAACGAAACTGGATTGGAACAATTCTTGACGGCTATAAAAGAAGGTGACATAGAAACGGTAGGCCTGTTGTCTTGGCATTTTTCCCGGTTAAAATGCATTAAACCATCGAAATGCTTCGGCAAGGATCATATTTCTACTTACTAGATTAGTTTTTTAGTATAAAAATTCAAGGTCTGCATTATTTTAGTTATAAAAGTTAAGCTTACTGAAAAATATACTCAATTTTATCATTCATAAGCTTTAATACGTTATGATATCCTACATTACTGTACTAAGCTTATACTTTTTTGTTTACTTAATTCAGGCAAAATTGATTTATACCAAGAAAAAGCTTCAACCCAATGTTTGTCATGTAACTTCAGGAGAAACAGGTCTTCACCTTGCTGCAAGGGAAGGGCACTTTGAATGTGTAGAATTTCTCTTGAAAGAAGGGGCTGATATCAATTTGCTAGGTAGGATTCTGTTTATTTTCTGTCCCTCCCACCTATCTGCCCCCTCCAATGACCTGCCCAAATACACATATTTACTACCAACTTTCGATACAATTTTTGTGGCCATTTCCAACGTTGTTATATGCAATTCAAATGTACTTGTAAATTGAATATCAAGCAATCAGGTAAACTAGCGGCAAATGCTGGCACAAATGCTGCTGCATCAAATGCTGCTGTATCAAAAGTTGCTTGTGCAAATTAATACACCTCACTGCAGTCAACAGCTATGCCACTTGATATGTAGGCGTGGAGATATACTCGTGTACATTGTGTGTATAAACCTTAATATCAATCTTTTTTCAATGGTATATTTATTCTTATTACACATTTAAGCTCGATATCCGTGAAATAAAGCCGTGAATAAAAACCATATCAGTGAAGTGATACGATATCACTTCACGGTAAACTGTAACTGTAACTTGACTACAATAGTAGTCAAGAGTGACGAGATAAATCTCTATTTAGTGTTTATTTCTATCAAATTCAAGATGAATTTTGTGCTTCTTACATTTTTAATTAAGCTTTAATATCTTGAATGATATTGAATTGGAAACGTATAATTCTTTAACATTTTGAAATGGTGTAAGTCGGTTAAGGATATTTAAGACAATAAAACATTTTGTGTGTGTTATATATCGAGCCTAAATGTGTAATAAACAAATTATTACATGTTAAGAACTTGATATCGTTTTTATTCACAAGTTTTTCCGTATCATATCGCTCACTCGCTCGTTCGCGATATGATACGGAAAAACTCATGAATAAAAACGATATCAAGTTCTTAACATGTGATAATCTCTATTTATCTTAGAAAGAAGAGGAAAGTCTGCATTACATTTAGCGGCAAGTAACAAAAAACTAGAGGTGGTCAAGTTGCTACTCAAGTACAAACCATATCTCGACAAGCCAGATAAATACGGTCGTACTCCTCTTTTATGGGCCACTCAAACCGGAAACCAAGAAATGATTGAAACATTGTTAGATGCAGGAGCTTCTCTCACAACCCCTAACAGTAATTGGCATCCTCTTCATGAAGCTTGTAAATATGGACACCAGAATATTATTAAGATGTTAGTTAAACTGGGATCCCCTGTGAATAACCCTAGTGAATGTAAGTGAAAATTATTGTATCATTCTTTCATTTTTTCATTTCCCGTTGACTCCTGTCAAAGGTGTCGTTAAGATACAGCAGTGTACAGAAAAAATGTGACAATCTTTTGTACGTTTAATGCTGGGACAGTCAATTTTCAGGATTATTTTGAGATGCAAGCACAACAGCATGTAATTAAGTTTACCATTGTTACTGTTTATTTTGAATGCTAGTTGATCATAAACAAAAGGCAGGAATGCAAAGGGTCTTGTCTACTCAAAATTTTTAGGTGTGCTAAATATATTTAAAAGTGTATTCAAGGTATAAGGAAAACCACTCTTTGTATAGTTAAAGAAATTAATACCGCTCAATGGAATGAAATCCTCTTAATGAAATTCACAAATTTTCAATATTTCTTTAGACAAGGGATGTACGCCATGGTCGCCACTGCATATCGCAACCCGATCGGGTTATCTGGAGTGTATTGATTTGCTTCTTGATGCTGGTGCCGATGTGCATGGTAAGAATGCTGGTGGGCATACTGCACTACACGAGGCTGCTTTCAGGGGTTTTTCACATATTGTCGACAGACTACTTCATTACAATGCAAGGCCTAATGCTCAAAATAACCAGAAACGAACACCGCTTCATGAGGCATGTCAACAAGGTATAGTCTATAGTAGTTATTAGTTTTTATTGTTAAATATTATAGCATCATATTTTATTATTCATCACTTTAGAGTCGGTGCTCACCACATATTCAAACCAAAGGTGTATTGTCTAATTTAAAGCTATTTTGAACAAGATTAAAATGGATATCACTGAAGCAGAAGGTTGGGAACAAAAGCAAATACCTCTATCCATCTTTGTTTGGTTCATGCATGAGTGAATTCCTAGCTATTTTACAACTGAATAGTCAATAACAAAATAAGTGCTACATAGCTATTGTTTCATGGATATCATCTAGTTGTGCACTTTATTGTCAAAAAATATATGACCATTTGGAAGTTTTATTACAGTCGGGGACAATCACAGAATTTAGAAGTTGATATTTAAGGAGAGAGGAAAAACAGAAGAACTTGAAGAAAAATCCTCCAAGCACAGTAGAGAACTAACAAACAACTCCTCTCGCTTACAACACCAAGCGCAGTAGGACACAAAACTTGGTTGCACTGGTGAGGGGCAGTGCATTTGCATGTGCTTCCCAAATATCTTTAATAAACGATATATTTACTCATAATAATTTCAATAGTTTTAATAATTTTAATAATTTCGGCCAAGTAGGCCGAAAGCTCGGAATTTATTAAAACTATGGTAGATAAGACAAATTATTGTGAATGTAACAACAACTAACAAGGAACTATTTGATATATTTACTTTTGTATTTTCAAAAACACAGGAAAAGTATTGTGTGCAATCTTGTTGCTGGATGCAGGAAGCAAGCCAAATGCTCAAGACATGGTTCTAGATACACCGCTACACCATGCACTTCGTGCAAAACTGCCGCCACCCACAGCTATAGCAATTATAACTTTACTGTTGCAATATGGTGCCTCTCCAACTATACGGGGCAATAATGACGATACCCCTTTTGACATTATAAGAGAAACTGGACAAAGAGAGTGTATGGATACCCTTATGGAAGCTTTAGGTATGTGTTGAAGGAGGGTTGGTGAAGTTTTGTGTTGTACTTTATAGATGTGTGAGGGAAGTTACGTTTTTTTACTTCGGTGGGGGGCTTAAGAGGGGAGGGTCACCGTAAGAATTTGAACTTTTGACGAAAGCTGTTTCCAGTTTCCAGCTGTTTAAAGTGCTTATATGGCCTACAGGATCTCTTTTAATTTCAAATCATGAAACAGGAAGGATGAAGAGGCCAATAGTAGGGAAAGACTGGGAAGCATGAATTTCACTTTGTTTCACGTGTTCTTTCATTTTTTTTTTTTTCAACAGAAAATCCCCAACCACTGTTGCAATTGTGCAAAGTCTGTATTCGCCGGAAACTCCGATTCATGAGTGACTTAGAGAAGATTGATTGCCTACCTCTTCCTGTCTCAGTGAAACATTATTTGAAAGAAGATGTAGAGTTAGAAGGAGATGAAAATTAGACGTCACTTGAAGAGGCAAGAAATACATTTTCATCAAACCGGAAAACATACTGTTTTCTGCTGTTATCTAAATAAGGCTTCACAATTTAGGAATGATTGTGTTAGTTACTGCTGTATCATCTCAATAAGATTGTATTCCAAATAATTTGTAAATATGTTAGCTACTAATAAAAAAGTCAAAGTTGTGCATCATTTTGGAAAAAAAACATTAACAAAAATGTCTTAAATTTCAAAACATAAAAAGTAACAGGGAATTTTTAACTTCAATATACTTGATATATTTTATTGTGAAAACAAAAAAACATACTGAACAATTATACTTTGATAATGTTATTAGTATGACCTATGATATTTGTAAATGATTCTTCATATTATTTTCAATGGCTGTATAAGTTTTGTACTACTGCAAGGAATGTAGAAACTATTTACACTGATGTATAGAAAGAGCATAAGAATTAAATGCAGAATGTACATGAACAGGGGTGGATCCAGGCCAGGGGTGCGCACCCCTCATTGGTTATACTTTGTGCCCCTACTCCAAAGATAACCAATACAGGATGTTTTTTCTTTTCGATTCTAAGGGGTGCACCCCTCCCTGAACAAAATTTTGGATCTGCCCCTGATGTATTATCACTAAAATAGAAAGGGCATTGCATAAATTAAGTAATATAAATTAATTTCATAAAGTACTAGTATTTGTGAAGATTTTTATTAAACAATTACTACAATGTAAAAAGCAATCTGACACATCATGGCTTCACATCCTTGAAGTAGATCAACAGTTACTGTTATGGGTTAATTTACAGTTGAATCAATTAACACTCAACAACTGTTAGTATTTGAAAATCATCATTGAAAAAAGTATTGTAAAAGTATCATTGAAAAGTATTTCACAAGAAATGTTTATATTAACAAAACTGATCTTATTTTAATTACTATAAATTAATTTCATATCCAGAATGTTTTTTAGCAAGTTTTTTATATTTTTCGGCTTCTTTTAAATTTTTCTCCACTCCGTCACCTAACATATACATTCTACTAACATTTGCACAACTCCATGGATGTCCCAGTTCACAGCTTTTGAGTGACAGTGCGAAAGCTTTTTTCATGTCCTTCTCAATTCCATTTTTTCCCGTAAGGTAGATAGCACTCAAGTTGAAACAGCCATTTCTGTTTCCTTCTTTACAGCCTCTATCAAAGAATTCCATGGCTTTCTTCATGTCTTTATTGATTGGTGAATCTTCGATGCCACTTTGGTATATTAACCCAGCATTATTGCATGCTCCAGGTTGGTTGCTATCACATGCCTTGGTATAAAGTCTTAAAGCCTCCTCTGGGTCTCTAAAGTCTATAAAATACATATTTAATAATAAGCTCTGATAAGAAAGTGAGTTTATTGAGTAAACCCAGCTTTATCATTCTTAATTAAATTTGATCATTGACATTGATAATGACAAGCAGATACTGGTCTGCATGTTGAATACAACGAGTAAATAAGAAGGAAACTTGGAAAAAAAGACTAAAAAGTTTGCAACCGTACTGACATTTGGGACATTAGCCCTTCTTTGGCTCTAACTCCAACAAAGTACTAACATCTATGGGCTGCCTGTGTCACACTCTACCCATATAAACAGAGGTCAAATGAGCATAACTACTGTGAGAACCCTGGGGAGAAAGTCTCAAAGAATTTCATACCTCTTTGAGTCAAGTGTAAATTTGCTAATGCAAAGCAGCTTTCCATGAGTCCTAACTCCTCACACGCCATTTTATAAATGTCCTTCGCTTTACCGGGGTCTTTTTCGACGGCCATGTAGAACTCGCCAAGCTGATGACAGGCTGATGATAAAAAACTAAGTCATAAACTCATTCTACACGAGGAAAGATATACGATTTAGAAGCTTACATTCTTTTTTCTTTGAGCCAAGGCATTCATGCTTATATATCTCTCCCAACTGCTTCAGGTAAGTAGTGGTTGCTGATAATTCGTCGTTTTTTGATGCCATTTTAAAAATAATATATTGTACCGTTATATCATGACTTCATCCGCCATTTTGTTTTCATGCAGAATCCGCTGGATAGTTATTATGCGGGCTCGAACAAAGCTTAAACATGGAAACGAGGGCAGTGAGGGTGAGTGAATCAAAATATACTCGTTTTTTTATTGGATTTACTAATACCATCTAATAAGCTTTATTAAAATTCAAATTAATGTATAATAATAATCGTATTCAAGAAGAAAATGGCTGAAATAGGAAGAGAAGAAGAAAAAGAAATAGATGGATGAGGGAAAGGAATAATAGAAACGGAAATAGGAGCAATTCAGAAATAGAAGGAAAAGAAAAAAGAAGGAAAGAAAAAGAGAGGAAGAAGATGACAAACCAAGATGTATCAAGTGAGTTCATATCTATTAGCAATAGGGTTAAACAATTATACAAAATATGTTTTACAAGTCACTCATAACTCTGATCCCAAGGCTACAAGGAGATCTGAGAAGTAGCTTTGCCGCCTGGGATTGGGAGGAGGGGATTCACTAACCCTATATTCCTTTTCAAAGACTGAGTTTAAAAATCATGACCAAAGTCTCCCCTTTCCTTCCCCTGTGAGCTGGATTAGACTTTTGCTTAAAAATCTAAAAATCCTGACTATGCTCTAAAGAAACTAGACCCTCAGCTTAATACGCGTGCCTTGTGGAACACCATAGAAACAGATCTCTGGATCTGGCAGTGGCTTCTCTCGGCTGTCCTCCTTACCTTGGGTTACAGAGGGATTTCCAAAGCCGCAAAAGAAATCCCTCTGTAACCCAGGGTATGTCCTAAATACAGTCATGGCTCTCAGTCTTCTGCTTGACTAATCTCTGCCCCGATCCACTGTGCTTTTATAGTATTCTCTATCTCATCTTCCACGTTTTGATTCTGGTCTTCTTTCTCAATCCACACGTAGCTTCCTCGCATTTCGCAACCGAGGTCAAAGAGGTATTTTCCTTTGCCCTTTGGCTTGTCGTCAGTAAAAGTTCCTATGTACCTGCGAGATATATTAGTAATTATTAGAGAAAAATAGACTAATCGATAATTTACGTAAAGACATTCAACTTAAAATAACGATTTCAAAGTTTTGCTCCACTCGTTTGTGATATCGTACGATAAGAGCACTAGGATAAAGATAAAAAATACTATAAGTTAAGGTTTTGTGTATGTTGTTAATGTTGTAGTTACTGCTGTTGTCGTTGTAGTTGCTTCTGTTGTCGTTGTCGTTGTAGTTGATGTGGTTGTCGTTGTGGTTGTGGTTGTAGTTGTTGCTGTTGTCGTTTTCGTTGCTGATGTTGTCGTTGTACTTGCTGCTGTTGTCGTTGTACTTGCTGCCGTTGTCGTTGCACATGCTGCTGTTGTCGATTTCGTTGCTGCTGTTGTGTTTATCGTTGATGTGGTTGTCGGTCGTTTGTCACTGTTATGTTTGATATGGCTGCCTGTCACTTGATGTAGTTTATTCGCTGCCGTTGTTGTTGACGTTGTTTGTGTACTATTTCTGTTGTTTTGCTTGATGTTGTCGTTGTTGATGATGATGCGTATTGATGACGGATGATGTTGTTTCATCTCACCTGTGATTCGAGTGTATCAGTTCACCTGCATCATTCATTTTTCCATGGAACCAGGTCCCTTCATACCGGGAGCCCGTTTCAGCATACGTATATGTTCCCTGTCCATGTCTTTTATTTTTCACCCATTCACCCTCGTACCAATCTTTATTCGCATACGTATATCTGCCCCAGCCATGTTTTTCATCGTTGACCCAGCTCCCTTCGTAACTGGATCCATCAGGATAGAAGAATGTTCCTTCACCATTCTTTTTCCCTCCAATATAATGCCCCACGTAACGGGCACCATTTTTAAACCTGGGAACGCGGATTTATAAAAAAAATATTGTTAAAGCGGTCAGCCAGCTATGACTCATTTCTGTCTGATATTGACTAGCCATTAATTTCTAAATAAACACTAAAAATATAACTTCATTAATATACGCACACACGCGCGCAAAATAAATCAACTAATCAATTAATTGTATTTTTAAGCGTCTGTCAATCCGATCTACGATGTTCAGCTTTCTTTCGCCAGTTTGTTTTGGAGCTTCAAACTCAAGCGATCTTGAATCTCTCAACATTTAAAACAATCATGACTTCTACTTGTAGACAATTAATTAAGCTTGAGTATTTATAATCTAAATGTAAACGTTTATGATCGCTTCGAGCTATTAGATAGTAGTAGTCAAACAGCACAAATGAAATCAATGAAATTCCCTTCAGGGTCTTTGAGCTTTTAATCTCTTGGAGTACTTTTTGTTCTAAGTAATATTTATTGCTACCCCAGCCATGTTTTAGTAATTGGTTAATCTTTTTTAATTTATATACCTGTAAATTCCTTGACCATGTCTTTTACCAAACTCGTACTGTCCTTCGTAAGTATCTTGATTAGGTAGCCTTGCTCGTCCTTTACCGTGACGTTCGTCTTTCTCATTTCGTTCTCCTTCGTATTCTCCAAGATATGGCAAGCCGTCATCTTCGATGCTTTCTTCATCAGATGAAGACATTTTAAATTATATTTACGAAGTCGTAGTGAGTTTTTGTCCTAGAATGAAGGACTGTTTGCTCGCTCTTTGGAGTCAAATGGCGTTAGTGTTTGGATGCGATTGATTCCTCGTTTCTTTGGTAACGGTGTAAAATAATACCGAGATTTTGAAATATCTTTCGGTAGAATCAAAACGGAAATGATGGCATCGTAAAAGGATCGAGTGTCCAGCTCGGGTTAATCTATTTGTCATGTGGCCGTTACGCCGCCTATCAGGCGTTAGCACGCGTGTCTTGATCACGCACTGCCTTTCCGCCTTTCAAAACATCACGAGTATCTATAAATTCCGAATTGTACGAGAAGATTGTGCGATTTTTTGTTCATAATACCCTGAACAAAATTGAGCAACTTAATTGGGACTCTACAGAGTACAATTTGGGATTTACTCTTGTCCAATCAGAATCGATTAATTAATTTTGTAGAGTGTATTCGAAGCACAGACAAGTTTATCATTACGCCAATTCAATAGTATTTAATTTCATGAAAACCCCGGAAGACGAATTAAACTGTCAAAACTCTAAACTAAAACAATGCCTTCGAGCAAAATCATTATTACATTTTTTTCACGAAATAAATAGAAAGAAAGGCTGATCAGACAATGTTGACAATACCTCACCGTAGACCAACGGTTGCCTTGACTTGCGAAGGTAAAGTTTTGCACTTTGCAAGAGTATTTGATTTACTTCATTAAATCCGATATAATTTAGAATGATTTAGTGCAGTTTAATTTAATGCAGTCCAACTTTACCTCTGGTTAATATAAGGTCGGACTTAAACATAGTTACGTTGGGTAGCACGCGAACTAATATAATTTTGGTTTTCTTGTGTTTTTATCTTTTGTTTTTCCTCCTCTGCTGCATGCTATCTCTTCTTTTCTCCTTTTTCCTCCCTTTTTCAAAAATCTTCGCTGCTTTTTCAAAGCCTTTTTTTTTTTTTTTTTTAGAAAAGACCTCACAGCTATACTTTGCTATCCAGCCGGTAAGGAATCAAAATATCTTGTAGTTCATGAAGTGAAAAAGGTCTGTAATTTGAAACATTTATAAATATAACGATAACATTTGTATATGATAACCTGGCTTATTGCCTTTCAAAATATTACCAGTTTGTGCTAGCTTTTAGCTGATTCACTTTTTATTCTAAGTCCTTTGACATTCAAATCCAAAGTTTTATTTTTCAAAAAGTCATTAAAAATCTTCATCAGCCACCACACAAAAGCTTTTTTTTATAACGACTTTAATTTCAACTTGATTATCAAATTGAAATCTAATAATCTCGGTCCATGACAAAAGCCGAAAATATGGAAAATGTAAAAAAAATTTCATACGCAACAAAAAATATTAATATATATAATAATGTTTCCAGAATCAATCTATAATAAACCGAATCAGAAATCCATAGCTATATAGATAATTATGAACTTCTGACCGATACAATAATTTAATTCCGTGCCAAAAACTAAAAGTAACTGCAAAAAGCGTTGGGAAAATCATCGCAGGGAAGCTGAAATTTGGAAAGTAAACGAGGTAAGTTAATTTCAACTTTTCTGCCCGTCAAAACGTTCCCATTTCTTTTTCCAGTGAGCGCGTGCATTCGTTATTTCAGGAGATATAAAGACGCTACGATTCTCTAACTTGGAACTCGGGAGATGCTTATAACTGTTTAGTTCGATCGATTTCAAATTTCAATAACTAGGAAAAAAGATTCGAGTGAAAATCCTTGTATATCTGTCACTTCATATTGCTCGCCGTGTGCAAACCGTCAACACTGAAAATAAATCAACAAATAATCTTAATTCCTCTCCGTTTTTATTAATTCTAAAATGAAGGCGAAGCGTCTAAATTTTGAAATTTCCTGATTTGCGTCTATTCGTTTTAGATACAAAGTTTCACTTATAGAGCATATATAAAATTTATGTCGTTAATCATTAGCAGAGTTTTAAGATAAGATCTAGATCTGTAGTTATTAAGTTTACTCGCAAAAAGGTTCCTAAACTATAACTTAACACTACCCTGGCCTCTGGAGGTCTTAACATAACACCGCCTTCTCTCGTGTTAATAAATAGGCCCTCTATAAGTAATCAAAATTTCAAAATTATGTTATATATATAATTTCTTTTTCTTCATTAATTTTTTGCTTACGATAAAGTAATATTTTTGCTTTATTGTCCCAGGAAAACAATTTCTGTCATTGTTAACTCAAACTTTTCAAGCCTGTATTAGTTTGTTATTGTAAACGCGTAATTAAATTCAAACTCATTGACATATCGTTCGTCTATATAAACACAGCCTGTGCAGATGGTATAAGAGTATACTGATTTTTCGTACTGGCTAAAAAAAGATCTCTCGAGTAAAATTGATTATATGGCTTCCCGCTTCGAACAAATCGAATGCGAGGATGTGACTCGCGTCATCCAATCAGAATACTTGATTACGACCAAGCGCGTGATGCATGTTAAACTAGTTTGTTGCACACGCATCGTATACGATATTCAATTTTGATTGCTTTTTTGCAGCAAAAAAATGATCATGCCACCTCAGATGATGACCATTTTCCTATCTGTCTACGTATCCGTGGTTTTCTCTCAGGCCTCTGTAATGACGCAGATCTTGCCTTCACAAAAGGCCACAGAAACTACAAACTCCCTTACGACTAAAGCAACTACAAATATCTCCATGTCCGTAAAACCAACGTCTGTCTTCGTTAGTCCTTCCTTTGTGAGATCTCTACATATACAAAGCTCGAGATCAACTCCTTTTCTCCTAAATCTCAGCAATATGAAACATACAAGCTTCAAAACGATGTTTTTGAAAACCGCTTCGATGAGGACTACGCCAACGTCTTTTCCAGCTGAAAGTATGAAATTCCAAATATCGAGCTTTCCGGATCCCCCCTCTAGTTTTAACAACGGTGAAAAGATATCCGATCCGCAAACAAGTCCAAGTAGAGTCAACAGTTCTGATTTGATCAGGGATTGTCCGAAAGGATGTTTCTGTAAACATTGCGAAGAAGGAGAGGTCGAAGAAGACATGATTGAACTGAAATGCAGAACGAACAATCTCAAAAAGTTGCTGAAGAAGTTTGATATTCCAAAGCAAAGGATTTGTTCATTGTAAGTACGAAGAATTATTTATTTATTAAATGTCAAAATTATTTGAAGATAATTGAGTGTAGGATAGAAAAATTGTGGAAAAATTCTTTATATTTTTTTTGAAGAAAGATTTCTTGTCCCTGTAAGCATGAATTATTTAATCGGCTTGGTGCAACGAAAGCCCCCTAAGGGAACAGGTGGTTCAGTACTGGATTTGAAAGAGTCCGAAGGAAAAAAAAGTGCAATAATCGTATGAATATTGATATTAAGATTGGTTCATGTAAATTCATGCTGGTTCTGTCTTTTTGGTGAAATTTCTAGCAAATTGTCTTAGGGCCGCAAGGGAGAGTACAGTTTTCTGTAATAACGGTTCCCTCTTTAAATAAAGTGTTACTAAATCAGACTATTAGGATTTAGTGGACCAAAGACATTATTAAAAAGAGTGTTTTTTTTTTTTGTTTTTGTTTTTAAAAAAATTAGGATGAAAAATCATACGGAAGTCTAGTTTTT